TCATAATGTCTCTATACACATTTAATAAGGGGTTGTACATGACAGGATAAGATAAATCCACATGAAGTTGTATTTATTTTCCATTTTTGCAACCCAAACAGTAAAACAGACCTAATTTTGATCTGAAAAGACGTTGGGCTTCTCTCCATCATGTTGCTCGCACACATACAAAATGAATAACCAGCTGCTGCCTTGTTGTATGCTAGTTGGAACATGAGGCACGCAATTTGTAATATCTGCATTTTGTTTCTCTTCAGCTCCATACCTGGCAGCCCAGTCTTTAGACAGCTCCTTGCTCTCTCAGCGGAATCCTTCATCGTCCTCCTCCTCAACATCTACGCAACCTGCCAGCTCCAGCAGCACTTCCACAGGCCCTCAGAACACCTCCACTGCCACCAGCACCTCCACAACCAGCAGTAACAGCAGCACCCCAGCACCCACCTCTGCCACCTCCTCTAACTCTCAGGGTTTGGGAGGCTTAGGATCTAATAAGCCCAGTTCTCTCCCTCCCTTTGGAGCTCAAGGAGTTCAGCATGCTGGAGCCCAGAACACAGGCACCATAGGGGACAGCACATCAGCCACCAGCCAGCCACAGGCTCATCCTGAGCCCCCTGAGAGGTACACTATTCTCATAAAACACTGCTGCTTAGAGTATATCAATCTCCGACCCTCCAATTAATGTGAGCATTGTCTTTTCTCAGCACTATGGAGAGGGACAAAGTGGGAGTGCCAACAGATGGAGACTCCCATGCTGTCAGCTACCCACCTGCTATAGTTGTCTACATAGTGGACCCATTTAGCTATGAGGAGACGAGCAGAGGCTGCAGCTCTAGTGTGTGGAGTCTGGGACTCCTCTACTGCTATATGGAGATGCTGCAGTTTTTGCCTCCACATATAAGGAATGCTGTGTCTGTGCAGGTGAGTTGATTGTGTTGGTCTGTGTGGGTTTTTATTTATTTTTTGTAAACAATATTTTAAGACACTAAAATTGATGACATTGTTGTATTGCCGTGCAGGTGGTTCCCTGCCAGTATCTGCTGCAGCCCGTACGGAGTGAGGAGAGGCATATGTACGCCCAGCATTTGAAGTCCCTGGCTTTCTCTGTCTACACACAGTGCAGGAGGCCTCTCCCAAACTCCACCAATGTCAAAACACTAACAGGTTTTGGCCCTGGACTTGCCATAGACACTGCATTACAGAGCTCTGAGGTACATTGCTTCTGATTTCCCAGCATAACAGATTTCCAATTTGCCTGGCTGCAGATTTCGATACCTTCTTTACAGTGTCACTTTATAATTGACCACATTAGTCCTAGGGTGCTAACAGGGTCATTATAATTATTTGTTTCCTGTAGGCAAGTTTCAAGTAGCTATTATTAGGGTTGCACACTTAATTTTTAAGTCAGGTTCAAGATGTTTGACTTCCTCAATTATTTATTAAACATAAATACATAATTGGCTCTCATTAGATCAATTAGATCTCCTTGTTACATTTAACTGTGAATTTGATTCTGTACTGTTCGGACATTTGTTTAGAGGTTTATTTAGAATGTCATTGTCTTTAAATTTAGCAGTTTGATGTTCAATGTTTAATTATAGGTTAGGGTTATTGTTTTATATGGTTATTAGTTGCTTCAAAGCTCAAAATTTACAGTGTGAAATGAAGCTCATGTTTTCTGTTGATCTCAAGTGCATTAAACCCATTTTGTTCTTAAACTGGTTGAATAATTGGTGCTAAATAATCTTAATTCTGTTTTTTAAATCAAGTTATCATTTTAGACAAGGACACAATTTTACAAATCTAGATTTTACAGATATTTTACACAAAATATTTAAGAATATATTATGTAAAAATGAGAAAATAAGGATCGATTGATTACAACTGTTGAGCACAGTTTTGAGATGAGTTCCTTTTTGCCGTCAACCAGAGGGCAGAGTTTGTGCGTCTCTACACACCACCATTCGTCTTGGCTCCAGTGAAGGACAAGCAGACAGAGCTGGGTGAGACTTTTGGCGAGGCAGCGCAAAAACACAACGTCCTCTTTGTGGCCTACTGTTTGTCTCACGACCAACGCTGGCTGCTGGCCAGCTGCACCGACCAGTACGGAGAGCTGCTGGAGACATGCATCATCAGCATCGATGTGCCCAACAGGTCAGTGCTTAAAGAGATGGTCTTTTCCAAATTGGGATTTCTGGAGTTAGTTCTGTGTAACTGAGAGCCCTTTGCTTCTTCCCACAGAGCTCGGAGGAAAAAGGGCTCAGCCCGTCGTCTTGGCCTTCAGAAGCTCTGGGAGTGGTGTGTGGGCCTGGTGCAGGTGACCTCACTTCCTTGGCGAGTCGTGATTGGCCGGCTTGGTAGAATGGGTCATGGGGAGTTGCAAGGTAGGTAACCTTTTAATGCCACATGCCTTAGTTCTGTTACACATGGCATTGTTGTTCACTCTTTAATTTGTGGTCCCCTTAATTTCTAACAGATTGGAGCATCCTGCTAAGCAGGCGTAACTTGCAGTCTCTGAGCCGCCGCTTGAAGGAGATGTGCAGGATGTGTGGCATCTCATCAGCAGATAGTCCCAGCATTCTTAGTGCCTGCTTAGTTGCCCTAGAGCCTCAGGCAACATTTGTCATTATGCCAGGTGGGATCTATATGAAGTATTCAAGCTGAAAGGAAAAGAAATGCTTAGAATCTTGCAAGCGTTCCCAGGTCAGCCAGAGTAGCACAAGCATAAAAATCTCTGCAAACCCAGGCCAGAGAACAACAATGGTATATTAAATCCCTGTTAGAAAGGTTTGCAAAGCATGTATTGTCTTAGTTGTATTTGTCTCTTACAATCAGTTAACTGATTATTATATTAACATTAATACTAGTTCCAAGAGTTTACAGTCTAAAGACAAGCAGTAAAGCAAAGTGAAACCTTATTATTCAGGATTTTTAAAGTTCGAATTTAATTACCTCTGCTAAATAATTAGCCATGACACTTCTCTGACTATCCCCGCTTTTTTTTTATGCCCATGTGTAGACTCTGTATCTACTGGTTCCGTGTTTGGCCGCAGCACTGCTCTCAATATGCAGACGTCACAGCTGAACACCCCTCAGGACACCTCTTGCACCCACATACTGGTGTTTCCCACCTCTGCTGTAGTCCAGGTCATCGACACACCCTTCAATCCCATTCATGGTCAGTCTCATACACACTAATGGCCCTCACAGCTTTAGCTGGCATTGTTCTTGTTCCATTCCGTAATCAATCCTCTCTTCTCAGATGCATCGGACGCCATGGGCGGTATGGATGGAATCCTGGACCTGCTTGTGTCAGAGAATGATGTGGACCCTGACCTCATTAACATATTACCTAATTCTCCTACAACTTCCCCAGTGCACTCGCCTGGCTCACACTACCACCATGGAGGAGATGGCAGCAAGGTTCCTTTCTTAACTTAAGCTCAGTATTATGTTATGAACGACACTGTGTTTGTGACAAACTACCTGCTATAGTCATTAATTGAAAAGGGTTGTTAACACATTAGTTAGTCTCAAAGGTTGGTGTACACGATCAAGAGTTGTTTTTCTTTCATCAGTTATGAAAAACGAATACACTTCTAACAAAAACATGTCCTCTTCCTTCACTTGGGTAAGAAAAAAAAATCTATTGTTGACTTCAGGCAGTGCTGACAATGATGCCTACTTGCATTTCCATTTGAATGAAGTGTATTTTTTAAAATGCCAAGTAAACGGTGTGTGAACGGATTTATTATGAGGATTTATCAAGTACCTTACATGTTTTTTGATAACTGATTAAAGAAAAAGTTTCAGGAGTGCACTCACTATAACCTTGGCAACAAAAACGAAATGAATGACCTGTGAAACACCATTTTTGCTCATGTGTGTGTGTGTGTGTGTGTGTGTGTCTCTCAGGGCCAGAGCACAGACCGCATGGAGTCTCATGATGAAACTCCCAACATCCTGCAGCAGCCGATGGCACTTGGTTACTTTGTGTCCACAGCCAAAGCAGGGCCGTTGCCTGACTGGTTCTGGTCCTCCTGCCCTCAGGCCAAGAACCAGTGCCCCCTCTTCCTGAAGGTTAGGCATTATGCATCTGTCTTTTCCAGCTTAAGAATAAGCGCTTCATGTGGTGTTAGTATGAAGATTTTTGACAAAAATTGAGAGGCTTTACATTCTGTTTATCGATTGTGGCACCCCTCAGACACAGCATTGGGGTGACCTTTTTCAAGGTACTGCTGGCTCTCGTGTTTACAGATATGATGAGCATCACTGGTAGGTGTATGTGACTTGTGATATTCTGTTTTTCAGGCATCTTTACACCTGCACGTCTCCTCAGTGCAGTCCGATGAGCTGCTGCACAGTAAACACTCCCACCCGCTCGACTCCAACCACACCTCAGATGTGCTCAGGTAAATTATTTTCTTCATGTCATATTCATTATCACATTAAAGACACCTGGTTATCTCGGTCTTAATCTCTTTGTTTATCTCGTGAATGAAATTGAATACCTGTCCTCCAGTAAAATGTGTTGCTTTGGCACAATTAACTGTCCAGATGTGGAAATTTAGTACTGCTTTCCCCCAGCAATATCAGAGAACACTGGACTTCATTAACCTTCACTAAGGTTTTATGGTTTAAGTAGTCAAAGATGCTTCCTGGTCTCTGCTCAGCTGAGCAAGAGAGAGAGGCAGGATATTGAAGGGTGCGTTGTGCCTAACCAGAGAGTACTCCTACCGTAATGATCTGGGCTGGGATATCTCCCTTGCTGTGGGTTGTAAATTGTATATAGGAATATGAATTTTGATGAATATAAATGTGTAAAACTTTGTTAAAATCAACTGAAGGTCACCAGGTTCTTTGCTGAAAAATCATTTGAGTAATCACTAATACAGTCAAAAATGTTCTTGAGGTAGCACGGACTAAATAGAATCTCATCTATGAACAAATAAAATTGATTTTGTCATTATACATTTTTATTAAATGAATTTAGTAAATGTAGGTCCCTGGTGGACTAGAGGTTAGGCCACAGCACTCTCGCCACTGCAGCCCGAGTTCGATTCCCGGCCAGCCACTGGGGCTGCGTGCAACAGTGCGCTCTCAGTGCCGGTCCCAAGCCCGGATAAAATTGGGGAGGGTTGCGTCAGGAAGGCCATCCGCCGTAAAAGCTGTGCCAAATCAAATATGAGGACCAATGAACCACTGTGACGACCTCTAACGGGAGCAGCTGAAAGAGGAACCGAAGTTAGTAAATGTAGCCTTTGGTATTCCCTAGAAAAGTTTACAAACAATCACTTCAACAGAAAAAACATGCGAAACTCGAGGCCGAGTGCCGTGCATCCCTCCAAACGAGAAACATGGATGTTTTCCGTACTAGGAAGAGGCTGCTACAGCATTTCATTGCACCTTGTAGGTCAAAAATCCTACCCTTTTGGCCACTGGCCAACACTGATATTTGTACTTTCCTAATGAATCTCAGTGCATCCCTGATTCACTGCGTTCACTGATAAGCAGTGTATCAGGCAGCTGAGGTAAATGTTTTGTGTCTGCTTGTTGTATAGGTTTGTGCTGGAGCAGTACAACGCCCTCTCCTGGCTGACCTGTGACCCTGCCACGCAGGACCGCCGCTCTTGTCTCCCTGTGCACTTTGTCGTGCTTAACCAGATGTACAACTTCATCATGAACGTGCTGTAAAATCATTACTTGCTGTGATGCACTGCTACTGCAGACCATAGCACACATCACACAGTCAGTCTGGGCACTTGGGAAGTGCAGGGATACATTTAGCATTTGCCAAGAGTCCATCTCAAAAACAACTGGAGCTAAAGGGACTAGTCTACTGAAATGTTCTTTTTAATGACCTGATATTTTGGTCTGGGTAAGATCTTTTGCAAATGAAATGCCTGCATATATCTTATTTATTGTACGTTTTTAAATGTGTAATTTCTTAATCTTTTATATATATAATATCTGAAGGTACACATTGCCTTCCTATAAAATTAAAAATGCTCTAACATGTATGTAATTGTCTTAATTGCAAGGCAAGAACTGACAAGTGTATTTGCAGTAGGTTGCTTTTAGAGAAGTATTTTCTGAGAGTGGAAAGACAATTTTTATTGCCATGATGTACAAATGAAGTATGCTGAAGCTGTTCTTAGCCTTGTGTGGTGGAAACTGCAGGATAGGCTGTAGTTGCAGAATACCTGTACAGCGATTTAATGTGTTCAAATAAGAGAACAAGAGATACATTGTCAAATTATATATTTTATATCAGATTTAGAGAATTGTGTGTGTAAATATCTATATAAAATGTGTACATACAATCTTGTGCCGCTATGAATGGTGCAGCCAATTTTAGGAATAAAGTGCGTCAACCTGAAATGATTGTGGTTTTCATCATGTTATTATTTTATTCTTTGTAGATCTTTTTGAGTAGACCTTGTTGCAGAATGCCTGTTCTTTAACATCAGACTTATTTTAACATTAAACTTCTGATGTAGGTGAAACTTCCTCTCCTTATTCCTCCTATAAATTCTATTCGTGCCATATTATTGTTAGCAAGCCCTGGTTGAGAGGTAAAAGCCCTGGAAACCGATCCTTCTTGTTCAGTGTTCTGCAGAAATCTTTACAGTATGTAGTGCCTTAGGAGTAATTATGAATAATTGTGTTTGGAAATCTGCACTTAACTCGTTCACACCCCTGTAAAATGATATCTTGGGTGTTGAAGCTTTTTTTATTAAGCCGCTGTTATCGCCATCATGTGGTATCTCATTCTCTGATGGCAAGAGCTGCAGTGAGTCCATAAATGAAGTAATGTGACTTTGCCTGGAGCTCCATTATTGCTCTCCATTATGGTGCCTGAACCAATGAATCTCTTGATGCATTTTCTTTCACTGATATACTGCATATGGCACTTTATGGCCCCCTGTGGGTTGCTACCAGCATAAGCCCACCAAGCCTTGCTTTTTGTGCCTTGCTTATGCAGCAAGTGTAGTAATCTGATGTTTAACTATGTAGTACTGCAGACCTTTGTGTCTAGTATGAAGTCATTGCAGAGTCAAATACTGTAGCTTCATACTAATATAGGCCTACTAAACGGGTGTGGTCATAGTCAATGACTTTGGTGGAAGTTAGCTGAAGATACACTAGATGGTCAAAAGTATGTGCACACCTGACAGTCATATTCATATGTTCTTGTTGAACATCCCATTCCACTAATGGTCCCCTCTTTGCTGCTATAACATCGTCCACTCTTCTGGGAAGGCTTTCCACTAGATTTTGGAGCATGGCTGTGAGACTTTCCCATTCAACCAAAGAGCGTTACTGAGGTCAGGTACTCATGTTGGGTGAGGAGATGTGGGGTGCATTCAGTGTTGTAGTTCATCCCAGAGGTGTTCAGTGGGGTTGAGGTCAGGGCTCTGTGCAGGTCACTTGAGTTCTTCCACTCCAACCTTGGCACACCATGTCTTCAAGGATATCGCTTTGTGCACAGGGGCGTTGTCATGCTGGAACAGGTTTGGACTCATCTCTTTAATTCCAGTAAAGGGAAATCTTAATGCTATATAGCACACAATGACATTTTGTACAATTGTGTGCTTTCAACTTTGTCTCAATATCATCTTGTCCTTTTTACAGGGGCTGGGACACCACAGAGTACTCAGGCCTTTGCTCTGTATGTGGATTGCTGAGTTAGCTGCATTGGGTTGTTAACGATTTGACACAATCCTGGATTTGTCTGTTCTTTGAAGCTGTTGTCAGCCCAAGACAGGTCTGTACGCTCACACCCGCTCAGGAACAGGCTTATTCAACGTAAGATTTGACTGGCCATTTAGAAGCATTATCGTCCAATCACAATCGTCATTGTGAGTCCTCGTCATGATTTAAAGAAACAGCTTACAGGTTAGGAAGAGTTCACAGACTATGGATAGACTATTTGTAATGCAAGTGTTACCATGGGGATGATATACAAATACCTCTTGTCACTCACAGTGGCAACTGTATTAAGACTATACCACATATCTTTTTAATGTTTGAGTTTTTCCTCCAAGTATATGAAAGAAAACTTTGCCAAGTATGAAAGGTGTTAAAATCACTGACCCAGACTTTAAATGGTATGCTACACAAAGGACTTTTTATTGCTTTCAGACGTGAGGCAGACACTGAAGTTATGTAGTCTACCTTAGTTTTCTACATTAAAACAGCCATGGTCTGAATTCCACATTTCTACCCCCTAAGTCACAGGTTTCCAGCCCTGGTCCTGGAGCATGCCTTAGTGTTTCCTGCTCTAACACACACACTTCAACTCAGGAAGGGCTGTTCATTATCTTATTAACTGCACGAGCTGCACAGGGTGTGTTCTAGGACCCGGGTTGGGAATCTGTGCACTAGGTAATGGACTACAGGGTGTCTGGCCATGTTTCCTGTTGAAGTCCATTGCAACCTTGGGACAGCTTCCCGATCCAGCCATGAGATCGATTTCAAAGGCATTCTCTAAAGGCATTAAAGGCTATCTGCAAACATATATAACATAAACTAAGTCTGAAACATTTTGGAAGACATTTTGCTACAAAGTGTTGATGTGTGGAGACTTCAGGGACACCCTGTAGGCTATAACTAGCAGGTGGTTAGAGCTGTAGTTGGTGACAGCAGATGGCGCTCGTGTGCCTGCTTGAAATTTCAGTTTTCTTCAGTTTGAAAGCAAAATGTCTTCGTTTCAGCCAAATCAAACCACGCACATGTGGATGATGTTATGTGCGTAACGATGAGTGAGAGAAATGGTGCATTTAACGGGTTAGTGATTGTATAATTAAATTCCTAATTCCGCTTTCTGTGAATAGTGTCCGTGAGTTTTTCGTTACTCAGGTGGCTTTAGTAGTTGAGAGCAGCATTTTCAGACATCAGCCCTCTGACAGCTGAGCAGACCCGAGAGAGCGCAGCCCATCGACCGCATGTCACTCAAACCTGCGGCCCGCCGCTCGCGCACAAACTCGTTAGGCCTTTAATAGGCGGGTTCATGGCCTTGGCTCCGACCCCGGGGGAATATCACCTTCAGCTCCTCGCCCTGCCCTGGGCTTGGAGAATGGACTGATAGAGGAGAAGGAGTAATCCGACTCCTATAATTGCCTGTCTGGGCTGACATTTGTAGTTTGGGAAGAAGGGAGGGCCTCCCGGACCGCAGGGATAACAAAATCATTATCTGCGCGTAATGCTCCTCTGCTACAGGGATATGTCTCGTAATTTAACGTTGAAAAAAAAAGAAAAGAAAGAAAGAAAATGTGACGCTAATGGATTATGTCGCGCGCAAGCATCTGGCTCCCTGCAGTCCACAGCCTGTAGTCTATTCAGCCTCTTTATGAGCCTGTTATGAATGTATCTGATTGAGGGACTCATTTATCTCAGTCGAACCCATCGCTTTAAAAGAAACATTTTGCTGCCCAAAGAAATGTAACCCGCTCTCTTTTCCCGATTATCTGGAGAGGGAAAAGGGGAGGGAGAAAAAAAAAAAAAAGCTTTTTCTTCACCCTTAAGCCATTGACTTAACATCTGGGTCGGTATTCATCGCGCATAAGCGACCTCTGAATGGCCACGGTCTCTCTCTCTCTCTCTCTCTCTCTCTCTCTCTCTCTCTCATGTTACAAGCCCCCGCGCGACCTGGCGTTAAGTGGCTCAGGAAATTGCTCTGACTCCCCCACATCAGTCAGCCTATAATGGCGGCATCGTGTTGCCGGCGGAAAAAAAATGAATGGCAATAAAAAGGGGAGATGATAGCTGTCGAGGGTGAAGAGGGAAGTGGAGTTTTATTGAGCTTGGCTGCCTCTGGGTGGATGTGACCTGGCACGCTTCAGGCAGAAATGTGCTTTGAGCTGATAGATTAGGACAAAATGGCCGCAAAGCAGAGGCGCGGGAATTTAATGAATCGCCTACAAATTTTGTTCGCTGTGGGGGAGAGGAGGACTCAACAGTCACGGCTGTTTACAGGAGAGGATTAGACAACGTTTTTAATCACGTCTGGTTTCTGTGGCTTGTCCTGAAAGTCGACAAGCATTTCCCTGAAAGAAAATGGCCTACTTTCAAG